CTGCACTACTAAAGAGGAAAGACATCATGCAATAAGAAAAATGGCCTGTCCCCAAATATTTTTTAAACTACTCTTAAAAAGAGTTGTTTTACAAAAAAAACACAACAATAACAGGATTCCTTTTTATCAGTGCCAATGACATACATATACAAAAACTTTTACTGATAGACTTCCTTTAATAGGAAACAAATACACAGAAAAAAATCTTCCACCTAATTTGCCCACCTAGATGCCTCTGATAATAAGAACTTAGGCCTCTGATCAGCACAATTTATGAAGGAGCTTCTACCAATTCCAAACTGAGGATTTTCCAGTTAATACTTATAAAAAAAGATATTAGGCTAAATTTTTTTTTTATACCAACTGTTACGTGTCATGACAACAGTTGTGCCACTAAGAGTCAATAAAGGATTAAACAGTAACATGGCTGAAAAGAATGATTGTTACAGGACACATGTACTTTTGTGTCTTGAAATTAGGTAGTGAAGGGTTGGGTAATATAATATTTAGTGGTTTTCAGAGACAATAACCATTTATTACAAGGATATCCATATTAGTTTTAAAGTACTTCTGGAAATTACTTGAAAATGTTAGCAAGCATGCCGTTACACTGAGAAAAAAGGAAATTACTTTATCCATCCTCCCTATGGCTCCTGCTGTGTTGTCATTCCTGCAAGCTGCACTAACAAAAGTAGAGAAAATAAAACAAGAGCAAAAGCCAAGTTATTGCTTCTAGAGTCCAGATTACTTGTTTAATTTTCCCACAGAAGAAGAGAAGAACAACAATTCCGTTTTTGTTCACTCTAATTTTTTCTTTTTAAAAGGCCCAGAGTTTATGGCAGAGTTTAGTCATTCCATCCCTTTCTTGCCTTCATCCAAATGCTACAGACATGAAGATGATAAGATAGATTTTAAAGTATTAGAGAACTGCAAAACGATGATGATAATGCTGTTACATAGTAAAGTGTGATCAATGGGTCAAAGCACATAACAGCCTAAGGCCCTATTCACACTTGCAAATGTGGGCTGTTTGAGATCAGCTGTCAGAAACCCAGCAGGGGTTTCCTGCAATTAACTTCAGGCCACTAGTCCAACTGAAAGCAAAGGGAGGCTGACAGCTCCAGCAGCTGTTCATGGCCGATTGCATGTAATCGCTCATGAAGTGATTACCTGTAAATGATCAGCCCTGGACACAGACTGTCGTCATCCAGGGCCAATCATCTATAAAACCATCTGTTTAATTGGCTCAAGTCTATATTGGCCCAAGTATGTGTATATATGTATGCATGTGAGATAAGGACTTGGATTGTAAGGTCTTTGAGGGCAGGGACTGGTGTGAATGTACAGAGTGTAAAGCACTACATAAATTAACAGTGTCATATAAATACCTACAGCTATATGAAAAAAATGAATAGTCCATACAAAGGCAGACGAGTGATGTCACCGATATTTCATAGTAAGATATCTGTCTCCAGTCAATCTAAACAATAGTTACTCCTGTTGTGTCTTTCAATACACACAAAATGTATTCCCCATGCTATCTATACACTGAAATATATTATCCATATACTAAACAACAGGTTATATACTGGAGTAAACAGAAACATTCACTACCAGATTACCTCTGCAAGCTTGTGTACAGGGTGCACTAACCATTACTGAAATGTTAAAAAATTAGAACTGCAGCGTAGTAACTAATAATATCTGTTTTGTGTGCAATAAATATCAATATAGATCAGTGTTTTTAAAGTCTGGCAATTCTTTTGCTTATAATAAATATACTATGTGAAATATATATTCACTTTATGCTGTAGACTACTGAAACTGGCAATAAACCTTTTGTAGAAGAAATATGACTGCTTTACCATTTTTATATGTTATCTTTTGATGATAAAAGGCATCACCGGCTCAGCAGCTACAGGACTTGTGTCAATGAGGTTTGGGCTTGTTTTGATGTGTCGATAGGCAAATGCTGCTTACTCAGGTGCATTCCACTTCCATTCTGGATTAGTTTGAGATGTTTCGGAGATCATTTAGGCTTCATACACATGAGCATTGTGGCCTATACAGCATAATTCAGCCACTGCAGGCAGGCAGCCTAGGTAACTCTAAGGCTAGGTTCACACCTATGCAGTTTACATTTAATCCATCTCTGTAGTGCTTTTTGCGGTGCGCTTTGCCTTTTTGCATTTGCGTTCTTGACGCATTTTTTAGGCGTTTTGTGTTTTTTTTTCCAACTTGTTGCTGGGCAGATTAGGAAATCACATTAAATGGACTGCTGTGCCTTTCTGCTAAACACAACAGAAAACAGATAGATGTGAACCTAGACTAAGGAGGCTTCGTGACTGTATGGACACAGCCACTTTCCCGAACTTGACAGGTGTGCAGGGACGCAGGAGCTTCTTTGAACTAGTCTGAATATAGTCATCCGAGCATTTACTATGAGATACAGCACTCTGCACATCCTGATCGTTCTGTCCTGTTAGAAAAGACCATGTGAGTATAGTAACACTGTGTGCAGTGATCACCAAGGCATCTGGTGAAGAATGCAATGAATTTAGTGAAATCTAATGTACAGTCATAACACAGACACTGACATGGCTGATGTTATCCAGGTTAGGTTGCTTTGTTATCAGTTATTAAAAAAGCTAAACGTATCCAATTTTAGATCTGCTCCCTCCCCAATTATAAGTCCTATAATAACAAGCCTGTAGAGCGGGGTGCTCAACTTGTGACCCGCAGGCCACACGTGGTCTTCAGAGCCCTTTGATGTGGCCTGCGACAAAATGCTCTAGGATCTGCTATCCCAGAGCATCAGAGTGCATGGAGCCAGTGCCAGCAGCACAGGAAGGCAAGCAGCCGCAGAGGGAGCAGCAGCCACATAAGCCGATGCTTGCTCTGTAGCGCCGCCTCCTGTGCCAGGCAAAGTGATACCAAGTGCACTTCGCTTGGGACCTTTCTAGCAGCCTAGCAATGCCAGCAGAAGCTGGAAGAGAAAAAGGACAGTTTATTAAAGATCACATAGTTTTGCAATGGTCATATTAGCGATTTTAAAAAGGGTTATTAGGATGCTTTCACAATGATCCACAATGATTTCACAATGGGCTAGGTTTAGCCCAAACTTCCACTTTAACCTTTACACCATTTGACTAACACAACCTGCACTATGATCTGTCATCACACTTGAGAAAGTCACATAGTGCAGAGCCAGCCTAAGAACTGATTTTTAAGAAGATGATGTCTCCCACATGTACACTATATTGCCAAAAGTATTGGGACACCCCTCCAAATCATTGGATTCAGGTGTTCCAATCACCTCCATGGCCACAGGTGTATAAAATCAAGCACCTTTGCATGCAGGCTGCTTCTACACACATTTGTGAAAGAATGGGTTGCTCTCAGGACCTCAGAGAATTCAAGTGTGGTACCGTGACAGGTTGCCACCAGTACAATAAGTCCATCGGCGAAATTTCCATGCTACTAAATATTCCAAGGTCATCTGTTAGTGGTATTAGAACAAAGTGGAAGCAACTGGGAACAACAGAAACTCAGCCACGAAGTGGGGTCAGCGCATGCTGAAGTGTGCAGAAGTTGCCAACTGTCTGCAGTCAATAGCTAAAGACCTCCAAACTTCGTGTTGCCTTCGGAGAGCTTCATGGAATGGGTTTCCATGGCCGAGCAGCAGCTGCATCCAAGCCATACATCACCAAGTGCAATGCAAAGCGTCAGATTCAGTGGCTTAAAGCTTGCTGTCACTGGACTTTAGAGCAATGGAGACATGTACTGTGAAGTGACGAATCACGCATGTCTGGCAATCAAATGGACGTGTCTGGATTTGGCGATTGCCAGGAGAACAGTTCTTTCCTGACTGCATTGTGCCAAGTGTAAAGTTTGGTGAAGGGGGGATTATGGTGTGAGGTTGTTTTTCAGGGGTTGGGCTTGGCCTCTTAGCTCCAGTGAAGGGAAATGTTAAGGCGTCAGCATTACAAGACATTTTGGACAATTTCATGCTCCCAACTTTGTGGGAACAGTTTGGAGTCGGTTCCTTCCTGTTCCAACATGACTGCGCACCAGTGCACAAAGCAAGGTGCATAAAGACATGGATGAGTGAGTTTGGGGTGGAGGAAATTGACTGGCCTGCACAGAGTCCTGACCTCAACCTTTGGGATGAATTATGGACCCTATGGACTAAGACTGGGATGCCATTAAAGTTCATGTGTGTGTAAAGGCAGGCGTCCCAATACGTTTAGCAATATAGTGTATTTCCCATCCTTGGAAGTTCAAAGAGAAAAAGCACCAATTGCATCAATGAATATGCTGAGGAGCAGATGTTGGTTATAAGAAGAATTTGCATGCATGCAGGATTAACATTTTACAGCATTGTACTTCGGTTTCTGTACTCCACAGTAAACAAAATAACATAAAGCAGTATTAAACTTAAAAATAAAAAGCTTAGCAATCCTTAAATGTGGTGGCTGAATTAGTTTTCTTTTGTATGCTTTTTCACTTGGTGATCTGGCCAGTAACACACTTCCTGAATGTCTCCACTCTTAGCAGCAACAGAGACACCTTTGGACACTAGCTTTGTCAGTCTGGGGGGGAAGGGTAGTGTTATACTAGCAAATTAAGATAGACTTCGCTAACAAATTAAAGCTGAATTCTAGAGTACAATTTGTAAGCAGCTAATAAAAGTTGTTTTTTCCCTTTTCCCTCTTGGAATAAAGTTTTTACATAAATAAATGAGGACCATTGTAAGCACCCCTGTCAGTGTAAAATGGTTTATCTCAACTCTCAAGCTGCACAGCTTGGTCTGTTAAGGGAAGTTAAAAAAAAACTACCAGATGTATTGGCTGGATCACTAAAATAAAGCAGAAAAAAAAAAAAAAAAGCCTAAAAAAGGAAAAAAAACGAATTCAGCCACTACATCCAAGAATTGGTAAGCTGCAATATAACATATTTTGTGTTTAATATAACTTGAATTCCTTGATTATAAAACTCACCCTTTGCACCATCTGTCTGATCTCCAGTCACATTGGGTGCAGCCTGAAATGACATGAAGAGGCGTTTGCAGAGATCAGGAGAGATATCATCTGCATCCAGGTATGTGCTCAAGAAGCGCTGAAATCCCTCATAATCTATTGACTGTAAAAGAAAACAAAAGCAAAAGTTAAACATGCTTGCTTCCAGACAAGTCACAATTACATCGTACTGGCACCTTAAGGCTAAAAGAAAGCAGTCAATATGTTCTACTGCCAAGCGTTAAAATCTACATTCTTATCCATTTCCCCTTTTCTGAAACCAGTAGGGAGCCACTTTGGATTTGTGGTTTTATTAAAACCACCAGATAAAAAAAAAATGAGCATTAGAGATTTTATGCTAATCCTACAGGCCGCCTGAAAAATAGCACTGCACAACTAAGGCTCTTTTATCACTCCTAACCCCAACTAATTGCTGTCACGGCCCTGCAGCAAATTACATTTAATATATGCTGTAAAAGAAAAGCACACAGCACTCTGATTTCTAAGACGACCTATGCCTTTCCTGGGTTTAAAGTTGAAAAGATTTCATTGTCTGAAATGGTTCAAAGAAGATATTGTAGTTACAATAGAAGAATACAATTATAATACAAGAAAAATACTTTCTGATGATATCCATCTCATCAATCCCGGGATACAGTGTGCTCTAGATTATATAGAACTACAATTGTGATATATTTATTACATGTATTTATATAGCACCAGCAATTTACAAAGCACTTTACATATCATACACTCACATCAGTCCCTGCTCTCAAGGAGTTTACAATCTAAGGTCCCTATTTAACATTCATATATACATATACAAGGGTCAATATAGACAGGAGTCAATTAACCTGCCAGCATGTCTTTGGAGTGTGGGTAGAAACTGGAGTACCCTGGCAGAAACCCACACAAGCACAGGGAGAACATGCAAACTCCATGCAGGTAGCATCCTAGTTGGGGTTCAAACCAAGGACCCTGGTGCGGCAAGTGCTAACCACTAAGCCACTGTGCTACCCAAACAGTTTATGCCACATTTAAACAAGCACAAAAATATCTTGAATTTTGGTGTTTTAACATATTTTATGTATAAATAAGCCTCAATCTTGGGCCTTAATATGTGAAAAAATAGGCTTTTTAAATATGGGAGTTGTTTGCAATTGCTTTAAGGCTGGAGGAAGAAGGGGTATTAAAACACACCAACTAATTAATACATCACACCTGGTATTTGCTAATGCATTTTGGAAGATTCGTAACCTGTATATCTATAATTAGCAACAGACACTTCCTCCAGCTTGTGTAGCTCAGTGTCACTATCATTGCTATCTTCCTTAAAATCTATTAGCATTTTCCGCCTAAGCAAATACTGGATTAGTGTGTCCACATGACATTTAAAAAATGATCTACGGTTTTCGGAATTTTCTGGACTTACCATACTTATATAGACACATTCATCTGTACTTCATAATCATCATGAACATAAAGTTTTGTGTGGTAGGACTATATGTCCCATTTTTTATTAATGTTAACCTTTGCTCCTATATTTGTATGGATCTACAGAATATGATACATGTAGTTATGGAATATTACGCAGTCTTCCTATATTATAGAGTTCCAGAGAATGTCATGAATACATGTAGCAATGTAATTATGTGTAACCTTTCCAAATGTAAATCAGGTTGGTGCCCTTGATAAATATATTAAGGCAGTGGAAATAAGAATATCTACTGATTGTCCCAAGCAAAAATTGGAATTGAAACAGCTAAGGGATGTCATAACTGTAATAGGGGATGAAAATAATCAATGCATTAGCTTACTGCAATCGGGTAAGCATCCTAGCAATAGCAATGTGCAAGCAATGACAGTACAGCCACAATAGCTGCAGAGGAGGTTGTATATTTCTACAGATTTGTATATACAGTAATTATCAAAATGTATATTACAAAAAGATGGAAATGCGTTGAATATCTCACCTCTTCAGACAGGTGGTTGCCATCTCCATAAAACTCCTGCAGAACATCTTGAACCTTTTTGGTACTATCTAAAAACAAAATAGCATTTGATTTCAACATGTGTGTTTCGGGTATAATTTGTTTGCAGTCTTCTTGCAGGAAACCTCAGGATGACAAGACACTGATGATGCAGGTCTATGCTGACGAAGGGAGAAGAGATGTTTACTCACAATCAATGTACTTCTGCAGCTGGGTGAACTCCTCTGGGCTCAGGATTGCCCACTCCTTATTCTCCTCGCTCATTCTGGCTCTGCGACAGCCCTGCGGCAACACAGCAAAACGCGGTGAGACAGATGATCCAAAGCAAGGAAGGGTAGAGAGAAAGAGATAAAGAGAGAGGGTAGAAGCTGCCTGTGGATGAATGGGGTGTACGACTATGGCTCAAACCTTGGATTACATATTAGCTGATCTAACACATTCTGCCCGAGTTTTCCAGAGCCACTGTCCTGCTGTAATAATGAGACAGAGACAGATTGAGTGGCAGGGTGACAGAAAAGAGACAGAGAGGGGGAGGCAAGAAGGGGATGGAGAGAGCTGATATACACACTGGATGGGGAAAGATGTACTGCACCAACTGCACCCACCGCCTGTGTTTTAGAAAATCAGCAATAAATGATACACAATAGAAGGAATGTCAAGTGAAATAAAGACAGGAACAGGCACAGAAAGTGGATAGAAGTAAGAGCAATCCAGCAACCAGTAGTGATGAAATGCAGAAACATACAGAACTTAGAGGAGGGGATGGGATGACCGAGTCAAGATATGTCAGAACAAGAGATCAGATGGAAAAAGCCTTGAACTGAGACAGATTAATGATTTAAGAGTTCTCTGTTCAGTGTAGAGCACAATCAGCTAAAAGCATTACAATTTGCAGCAAGAACAAAGACCCTAAAAGGGCACTCTATAAAAATATGCATTTTATAACATACACTACATGTCAGCAGCAGTTTAAAGCTAAAGATGTAAAGCTGTACGTGTCTACCGTAATCTGATCAACATGTACTAAGCAACAGGATGTTACATCTACATCGTCTGCCAGACACAGTGATATCTACAAGCAGAAAAGAGGTTTCCCACATATCAGTAATATACGTCTCTGCCAGCGGTGGCAGTCATTTGTCACAGCACAAGCAGTAATGCTACAGTCATCGAGTCAGCGATAATTCTATTCATCATCACACATATCTGTCTCTTGTAATCATCATTTGCAAATATGCAAAGTTATCTGACATATATAAATTGGGTGATTTACTAATGCTTCTCCAAACTCTCACCCTCTGTTTCCACCCATATGGAAGAAAAATATGTTTGAAATATATTTTAAAAATATTGTTCCCAAACATATTGACATATATTTGAAATGCTACAATTCTGGCCATATTCAATATACTTCCAAATATATTTCAATAAATATATATATACTGTATGTTGAAATGTGTTTTTATTACAAAAACCTCTCAAAAAACAAGAATGGAGTACATGGGAGTACACCACGGAGGAAGCCATTGCTGTCCAAAAAGAATATTGCAGCACGTTTGAAGTTTGCAAAAGAGCACCTGGATGTTCCACAGCACTACTGGCAAAATATACTGTGGACAGATGAAATCAAGATTGAGTTGTTTGGGAAGAACACACAACACTATGTGTGAAGAAAAAAAGGCATAGCACACCAACATCAAAACCTCATCCCTTAAGAGAGCGATTCACACCAGACATCCCAAGAATATTGCTACACTGAAACAGTTTTGTGAAGAGGAGTGGTCCAAAATTACTCCAGATCGTTGTGCAGGTCTGATCTGCAACTACAGGAAACATTTGGTTGAGGTTATTGCTGCCAAAGGAGGGTCAACCAGTTATTAAGTCCAAAGGTTCACATACTTTTTCCTCCCTGCACTGTGAATGTTTACATGTTATGTGCAATTAAACCATGGCAACATCTAATATTTGTGTAGTATTATGTTCAGCAGACTGTGTTCTTCTATTGTTGTGACTTAGATGACATTCAGAGCACATTTTGTGCCCAATTCATGCAAAACTCGACGTAATCCCAAGGGGTTCACATACTTTTTCTTGCAACTGTAACAGCCTACCTAACAATGGTCCTTGCACTACACTGTTGTTCACAGCTATAAAGCAGAGTACAATCAGACTGTAATGTGTATGGACAGTTTTCTGGTAAAAAAATGGGATAAATATGATGGGCGTTAGCCTTTTTTTTTTATTCAACCTTTTCCTTTATGTTGCTGCCAATTAGCTGTTTTCTTTCATTTCTAGAAAATACTGGAGTTAGACTTACCGGTAACTCTATTTACAATAGTCTTCCAGGACAGCCCATGAGATATAGGCTCTTCCTCCAACAGAAAATGTTAACGCATCACCAAAAGTACTTTAAAAAGGAGGCCCTTCTGCTGAGCTCGTGAGTTTTAAAAAAAGAACTGAGGGACGAAACAGGAAGAAAACATATTCAAACAGAAAATGAAAATAACACAAGGGTGGGAATCCGGCTGTCCTGGAAGACTATTGGAGATAGAGTTACCGATAAGTCTAACTCCGGTTTTCCCAAATCGCCTTCCAGGACAACCTATGAGTTGATTAGCAAGAACTTACTAGACCTCATCCCCCACAGGACTGAGCATAAATATCACAGATATGGTGGACCCTGTTATGTTAAATTCTCAACAGAAAGAACACAAAGGCAGCAAATCTAACCACAGGGTATAGGAGTAGGGGATCTTGGCACTGCACAAGTTGGGCAGTGGTCTGATATCTACCAAAAAACACTTAAGGAACAGAAAATGGACAACTCCCCTTTCAAAATAAAGGAGGAGTCTGCTAGCACTGGCAGATTCATCATCCACTCCCAACAGACACTATCTAGTGTTAACCAGCAGAGAGAGGAATTCAGTCAGAACCCCCAAACTCCCTCTAAGAAGCCCTACATAGGGAGAGCCCAACATTGCCCTGCCCCATTAAGCCTAACATCAAGGAGCCCCAGCTGACAGATTACAAGCTTGGTGAAAACCTAGAAACAAAACACAAGTAAAAGCAAGAAGGTACAGCAGCAACCTACAGCTTATTGGTGTCCTGTTGGTGCCAAGGACACCTGTATCCACCTGAGCTGCAGTCTGCAATGAAGAATCCAATAGGCAGTATGAGCTCCTTCACTTGTAGCATCCTGACAGCCCGTGTTTGAAAAAACCGCTATAAAAAGGCACCAGCCAGCGCTTCCCCTGTGCGAAAATAAGGCTTGGAACCAGAGCCTCAAGCACCTGGAAATTATTTCACCCCAACGAGGTTTACCTGTGCATCATCCGGTCAAACAGAAACACAGATAGGTCCCGAAGCCAACGCAGCTGTTGTGTGAGCCACTGCCAAAAAGTACCCTACAGTGCATGCACCCAGACACCCGGACTGGGAATCCACATTGCCTATGCTGGTCCCTGTCAAGGGGGTGTGTGGCTTCCAGACATGGTCTTTGCAGGGCACAGAAGAAGAAAGGAACCAAGCTACCTCCTTCCTGTACTGAGGAGTTGTTCTGGAGGGCAATCTAGCAGAGAACCCTACCAGCTGCTCCCTGGGGAGTCAGGTAGGTAAAAGTGTGGGTGGAAGAAAAGGATAGCCAGAGCAACAGAGGCCTAAATCCTAACCTTAAGGCCTAAAGGTTACAGGTGATGCATCTCCTCCGGCCGGAGGAAACATAGTAAACTGACCAGTTCAGCAGATGGACTTTAACCACTAGCCTACAGGGCACTTATATCCCCTTCCTGCCCAGGCCAATTTTCAGCTTTCATCGCTGTTGCACTTTGAATGACAATTGCGCGGTCATGCAACACTGTACCCATATGAAATTTTTATAATTTTTTTGTGACAGATAGAGCTTTCTTTTGGTGGTATTTAATCACCTCTGGGTTTTTTATTTTTTCTTAAACCAAAAACCACTGAAAATTTGGAAAAAGAAAGTTTTTTCTTAGTTTTTGTTATAACATTTTGTAAATAAGTGATTTTTCTACTTCACTGATGTGCGCTAATGAGGCTGCAGTGATGGGCACTGATAGGCTGCACTGATGGACACTGATGAGGAGGCACTGGTAGGTGGCACTGATGGGCATTGACAGGCATCACTGATGGGCACTGAAAGGCAGCACTCATATATGGCACTGATAGGTGGCACTGACTGGCACTGTTAGGTGGCACTGACTGGCACTGATAGGCAGCACTGATGCACACTGATAGGTGGCACTGATAGGCGGCACTGACTGGCACTGATGGGTGACACTGAAAGGCAGCTCAGATGGGCACTGATATGTGGCATTGATGTGTACTGGTAGGCACTGAAATGTGGCACTGATGGGCACTGGCAGGTGGCATGGATGAGCACTGACAGCTGGCACTGATGGACACTGACAGGTGGCCTGCTGGGGCTACACAGATCATCAGGGCACACTGACCATCAGTGCTCTGATGATCAGTGTACATGTCCCCTCTGAGGAATGCCGATTGCCGGCTCTCCTCTCCTCTCTCGAGCTGTCAGTGTGACAGCTCGTGAAGAGAGAAATGCCGATAACAGGCATTTCCCTATTTACATGCGATCAGCTGTGATTGGACACAGCTGATCACATGACCGAGCCGACATCTTTGGCTCTTTCCGTTGATCGGTGATCCGCTGTGTCTGAGGGATACAGCGCACCGCCAATCGCCACGCTGTGTGCTCCCGGAGCTGCGCATGTGCGGTTAGAATGTGAGGACGTCATATGACGTCCTCCCAGAACGAGAGAACCGCCTTGCGCCCGTCATTGTACTATATGGTGGGCGGGAGGCGGTTAAAGTACTTTCGGTGATGTATTTCCAGTTTCTGTTGGTGCCTATATCTCATGGGCTGTCCTTGAAGATGATTTGGGAAATATAACCTAGCTTATAGGGGTTGCTTTACTAAAGGCAAAATAGACTTTTCAATTTGTAAGGGAAGTTGCACTGAATGAGGTGAAGTTATGCTGACTTCTATCATCCAATCATATGCAAGCAAAAATTATGTTTTTTTTTTATTTTTCTTACATGTGATTGGGTATACTTTTTAAAGTATAATTTTACCACATTCACTAAGCTCTCTAGAAAATTCACTTGCAAAGCAGACTATTTGCCTTTAGTAAATCAACTCCATACAGTCCATTTTCACCTTTTTGATAGCATCTGAGTAACTTACAATATAATGCTATAAAAACAGGAAGTTTAATTTTTTATTGGGAAAAAAAATATCAAGTTTAAAAGATCACGTTTCCATGGCTGCCTCTTGCTTGTCTTATGTATTGTATTCCAAGCAGAAAAAAAAGGTTTGCATTACATAACACTGCAAGCCAAAACCAAAAAACTTGTTACTGATGATTAATGAAGAAGCTGGCAGCAGGTCCTATTCTTGCACATCACAGTAAAAAATAGCAGAGAATATGTCGTTTATGCAATAATAAACACACCAAACAAGTCTCAGCTTTTCTCAGGAATTATAATTAGAGTAACTACAGATTTAACCATACCACTCTTTAAGGAAGAACTCCAACCTAAAGAAAAACTTTTCCATAGTAGCGCAGTGCTACCCCCGCAGGGGGCCACTGATTTGTGTCCTAGGTTCTCTTCTCATTAGTGCAACACAGCAAGGAAAACAGCAGCTTTCAGTCCACTAGCTCAAGAAACAGTCTAGGGGTTGCCTTTTTAAATGCTTATTGCAGATCAACGTGGAAAGGGAATAGGGAGCTGTGGGATACTCCAGGACACTAAACAATGCAAGCACACTATCCCCTTAGCAACAGCTTCTTAACACAGTCCTCCAAGTATCAGGACATGAAGTGGAAAGCACTGGTACACCAGGCAATCTTTAACTGAATATGGCAGGAGTTAACAGCAAATGTCACTAAAAACTCTCTCCTTCTGGTCCATACTTGCAGTGTCCCCTAGGCTTGGATGTCTCCATACTCCAACATGCAGACTCCTTTGTAGAGATAAGATCCTCAGTGGCACCTCTCTTTCTGGCTCTCCAGGAGCTTGTATAAGGATAGATCCCCCAGTTGAGCACAGCTGAGATGTCAATGAACAGGCTGAATCTTCATCAGGATGGCCAGGAAGGGAAGGGAGCCCTCCTGATTGGGACCCTCTCCTCCAGGGAAAAGAACTGCTCTCTGGGTTTCCATACAATTTATCCACTTCCCAATCATCATTTGGGCACACCTCTCTAGGGATTGGCTGGAGCTGCATAAATATTCAGGCTACTAATTTGACTCGCCCACCCATCTCCAGAAAACGGGGAACAGTCAAACCTGCAGCCTGCAGAGCCCAGAGCAAACTAGGGAAATCACACACACTACTCTGCTGATTTCAGGTTTTTAATTTTTTTTTTTCACCTAAAGTGAAAAAGTTGTTTTTAAATCTCTTAAAGCATATATAAACCTAAAAACAAAATATTGCAGCATACTGGGTCCACAGATCCTGATGAACTGCTAGTGACATCTCCAGTTCCAGAATGATTACACACTGTACATCTACGCAGTAGCAATGTTGTCTCACGGCTGCTTGCTCCTGTTTTAGACTTTAGGTTGATGTGTTGAAGTCTCCATGTTCAGCCTACAACCACAGACTAAACCAGAAGAGGACATCAGTAGAAGATGTGCATCTGCACCTAGGATACCAACTCATGAATAAGAGGACATTGGGATAAGAGTCAAGTCAAATTCAAGGACAGAAAAGGTAGGTACAACTTATAAAAATAAAAAGGTTAATCTCCCATCAGTATTATAGTCGTGTTAAACCCAAAACAAAAATGTAATATATTGCAGCTTACCTATCATTAAAATGTGGTGGCCGTATTTGTTTTCTTTTTTAGGCTTTTTTTCTCTATGTTTTCATCTAGTGATCTGGCCAGTATGACATCTCCTGTATAAGAGTGCCCCCACTCTGGATGAAGGAGCAACAGAGACACCTTTGGAAAGCAGCATTGCCAGTCTGGGCGAGGGGAGTGTTAGTGTATTTAAATCTTTTAGTACATCTAACAAAACTGAAGCCAATCTCCAGCAAACATTTTATAAGCAATTACAGCAACGGTATTTTTCCTTTTGGGATAAATGTTTTACATAAATAAAAGCTAATCATTGTAAGCACCCCTGTCAGTTTTAAATGGTTGGTCTCAATCCTCTAAGTGCTAAATCTGCAGGACAGTTTGTTCTCTTGAAAAACAACAGAATTACTTGCCAGATCATTAGGTGAAATTAAAGCACAGAAAGCCTAAAAAATAAAATGAATGCAGGCATCATATAAGAATTGGCAAGCTGCAAAATAAAAAAATGTTTGCTTTTGGGTTAATACCACTTTAAACCCTGGCTAGATGTTTTTGCCTAGTGTTTAGGTAACATAATAGCAATTTTTTCTGATCCTTGGAGAGCTGATTATATATAAAGTAGATCAGCTTCTAAACCAAACACCAAGACAGGGGCGGACTGACCATTTGGAAACTCGGGCACTGCCCGAGAGCCTGGGGTCAGTAGGGGGCCCCATGAGATGCCCCTGGTACCTTTTTCATAGGCTTTTTTGAGTTTGGGCAAGGACACAGGGGCCCCATGATTCCCTATTGCCCGGGGGCACCAAGAACAATGTGTTGTCTGTGCTTGTTCTATCCACTGGTAGTAATGGGAATCATACTATGTTTGTACACTGTTTGACAATCCAATATTAGGCTTACTTGAAAAACATCTCTTTTCATGTTGTGAGTGCTGCCTGTGTGCCGGCTATCTTTCTGCATCCTCCTGGGTTCCCTGCATGATTTATAGCTTCTCCTCTGCCCATTCCCTCAATTTACTTTTGACTTCTAAGGGCTCATGTACACTGCAGCTGCTAAACTGACATTCAGGAGCTGTTGAGCGTTTTTTTCAGCAGCCCCTGAACTCTCCTTTATGTGTCCATGTACACGTAGTCGTTTACAGGCAGTTGAGTTTAAGTTTTCTGGAACGCAACAAAACAGCGTTCAGGAGTAGATTTTACCGACGTTTCAAACGCTTGTAAATGCGGTTAACCACGTTTATGCGCTTTTGCATTTAGACGTATTTTTTGGCTGATTCATATCCAGGGCACAATTCATCCGAGTATGCAGTAGGATACCACAAAGCATTTTAAAAAAAAAAAACAATTGAACCCACTAAAAAAGGCTACTAAAATACCGCATGAGTTATTTTATCAAGTAGTGAAAAGCATGAATTAACGTTTCAGCTGTCAGCGGGGTTCCCACTGACAGCTGAATGTAAAAGAAAGAATTGCCAGCAATTAAAAAATAATAAAAACGGTGTGGGGTCCCTCCTCCCATCCATACCAAGCCCTTTGGGTCTGGTATGGATTTTGAGGGGAAAATGTAAAAAAAAATGTTGTGGGGGTCCCCCCAAAATCTATACCAGACCCTTATCGAAGCATGCAGCCCGGTAGGTCAGGAAAGGGCGGGCAACATGCCCTCAACATGGGGGGGATGCTTTGGGGTAGGGGGACACCCCCCAAAAGCACCTTGCCCCCATGTTGATGTGGACAAGGGTCTCTTCCCCACAACTCTGGGCTGTGGTGTGGGGGTCTGCGGGAGGGGGGGCTTATCAGAATCTGGAAACCCCCTTTAGCAAGGGGGCCCCCAGATCCCGGCCCCCCCCAAGAAGGAAAAAAAAAAAGGATGTCCTCCGAAGTAGATGCAACGTCAATCATGATGCCGGCCACCGCCATCCCGACGCTGGCTCCTGGCCATCTGCCTCTCTGCTGGTTTGACAGTTGTAAGGGGCAGGGCCACCCAAAGACATCACCCATGTAACCCCGCCCCGTGTGACATTATCTACCGGGGCATGCTGTTCAATGACATCACACGGGGCGGGGTCACATACGTGATGGCCCCGCCCCTTACATATTTAAGACCTGTCAAGCCAGCATAGAGGCAGACGGCTGGGAACCAGCATCAAGAGTGGAGTCTTCCTTTTTTCTTTTTCGGTTGGCGGCGGCAGGCATCGTGATTGACATTGGATCTACTGCGGGGGGACATTCTTTTATTTTCCTTCTTTTAATAACGGACTTGTCAAAAGAATGTCTCCTGTCTTTTTTCACACTACAGATTTTTTCTTTGTGAATGGGTAGCGGAACCATGTACCCCATACTCATTCACATGGGAGGGGCTGTGATCTGGGGGCCCCCTTACTAAAGGGGGCTTCCAAATTCCGATAAGCCCCCCCGCCTGCAGACCCCCACAACCACATCCCAGGGTTGTGGGGAAGAGGCCCTTGTCCCCATCCACATGAGGACAAGGTGCCTGGGGGGGAAGGGGGGGGGGTGCTCCCCTACCCCAAAGCACTCCCCCCCCCCATGTTGAGGGCATGTGGCCTGGTATGGTTCAGGAGGGGGGACAACCACGCCATTTTTTTTATTTTGGCGTGGGGCTTCCCCTCAAAATCCATACCAGACCCGAACCTTTTTTTTAAATTTTTTTAATTGCTGGCAATTCTTACATTCAGCTGTCAGTGGGAACCTTGCTGACAGCTGAAACATTAATGCATGCTTTTCACTACTAAAATACCGCATGACTTGATAAAATAACTCATGCAGTATTTTAGTAGCCTATTTCAGTAAATTTACTATTTTTCAGTGCATTCTGGGCATTTGGGAGGGTCTCCTAAGGTTATCGCTTCT